TTAAAAAAAATATTTACGGAACTAGAGCGACTTGACACTGTAGTTGAAATTACTGCTGAAACTTGCGGGTGTCAACTTCGTACAAGTTGTGGGTTACCATGTGCGCACGAACTTAACTTCTATATGAAAGAAGACTTGTTTATTCCATTACAAGAAATTGATGTCTTCTGGAGGACTTTAGATATTCCTGACCCTACAGTAGAGGAGGAGGATGATGTAACTTGTGATGCTGAGCTTGAAAGGTTCAAAAAAGGTTTTGCAGATCAGCCAAAGTCAGGGAAGGTCTCATTTTTGAGAAAACTTAGGGGGATTTTTGAACCATCGACCTATATTGTTGGTGAACCTTCTGTTCACAAAAATATCCGTGGTCGTCCAAGTTCAAAATCCAGCAAGGACAAACAAGTGTTGCCTAATGAAAGTCGTAGACATAGTTGTTCATCGTATAGACCAGCCGTTCAGTCTGAATTGAACGAGCCACCACGACACAGTGAATATGTCTACCGCGATCTGCCACCCAAGGTTGATCCACCACAGTGTAGCTCATATATGCCTTTTTCTTTTGATTTGAATGATCTGCCACCTATGTCCGAGCAGAACTTTGTTTATCAAGACCCGGCACCATCAACTCAATATGGTTATGATCATTACGAACTGCCACAACAAAACGAATATTATTATCAGCAGCCAATAATGGAGGTATTGTTATTTTATACTTTATTTTTTTATAAAAAGATACAATCTAGTTGTCAATTAAAATTTCTTTTATCTTATATTTTTTTTTAGGAACCGACACGGTATACACATCCACTGATTCATGAAATTCCATCTTTCTTTCAACCATATGTCATCGGGATTGAAGATGTTGAAGGCGATGGAAATTGTGGTTTTCGGTCAGTAGCTGTTGCTATTGGTCGAGATCAACATGATTGGCCATCGATTCGTCATGAATTATTGCAGGAATTGCATACCAATAAAAAACACTATAAAATTTTTTTTGGTGATTATTATAAGGTTGTGGAACACTCCTTCAAATTTCAAGGCATTGGATTTGCACCGATTGAGCATTGGATAAAAATGCCCGAAACTGGTCTCGTGATCGCGAACAAGTACAACTGCATTTTTTATTTTTTAACAGATGCAGGTAGTTACACATTCTTTCCGCTTTGGACAAGTCCACAAGCTCCAGAACTAAATCAATCCATAGCAATTGCATTTGTTCATGGAAATCATTTTGTGAAAGTGGATTTGCAAAATGGACATCCAATGCCCAAAGTTTCTCCGTATAAAAGTGTCTGTATGAAAGAATGGAGACAAATGTATAAGGATCGTCTACAATTGTAATAATACAAAAAAAAAATGTATTTATTTATAATATTGGTCAAATCATGCCTTTATTTTTATTTATTTTAAAAATAATTGTTAAATCATGTAATGATTTTGAAATCATTTAATAACTAATAGTCAAATCATATAATAATTTAAAAGTCACATCACGTAATGATTTAGTAATGATTAAAGTAATTAAAGGATAATTAGAGAGGGGTGTACAATTAGAAATTTAGGGGGTGTACATATAGACACCCCCTTATTAATTGTCATTTGTGCCATCCTCATCTCTGAGTATACGTATAGACTTTGGTGTTTCTAGAGACTATTCTACACATTTTAAATGGTATAACTTACGTACGCCACACGAATAGTTAACTAATTATGCCAGCTCAAAGTTACTTCATAAAATTTTAGAATCGTATGCATTTAAGTTAATATATATGCTGACCTGTTTGCAAATGGAAGATGAACATTATTTTGAAATATAGAATCACTAGTATAATACTCGTATATGTGTTGAATTAGAAATCTTTCGTAAAAAATATTAAATTTTTTATTTTTTTCTAAATTAAAATAATTTAATTTTATATAAAACATTACTTTGGGTTTTAATTAAATTGTCAAATTATATGTTTTTAATCCTAATAATTAAACATCCGTACATTAAATGAAAATGTCAACCCGTGTTAATTTTTTTTACTTATATCATATAAAAATATCGATATTATTTACTATTACATAAGTACAAAAATATACATCTTAGATAAATAGAATTAATATGGTGATATGTATATGCATAAGTGTGGAATATGTTTATTTAATATTAAACAAAATAGATTATTTTTTTTACTTAATTAGATGTCTAATACATCAAGTGTCGTATCAGTCGTGCTTCATGGCCTTTTAACTTTATATGTAATTTTAGAATTTATATAAATAATTATTTATTTTTATTACATTGACAACATACAAATTAGATTTGAAATAAATATCATTTTTAAAAGAATACCAATTTCTATTACTTTATAATATAATTTATAGTTTTATTTGATATAATTTAATCTAGTTTGATAAATAAATTTAAATTTTATTTATAAGGATATATATTACTGTTTTGTATTATATATGTGTATATATAAGTAGTAAAATACAAAGGGACTTCATAATATCAATTCAAATGCAACAGTATTAAGATTTTTTTTTTCATGACAATATTAACCCTATTTAATGGATGTTATGGGAAATGATGGAGATGGGATATGAAGATACACTGTGTATTAGATGGAGGGTTAAAAATAGAAAAATATGAACAAAATATCTAAAACGACATTTATTTTATCAATGATCAACTAAACCAAAGTAACAAATAATAAATAAGAGGGAGTATATGTTATTATATATTTTAGTATGATACATGTTACTTGTGCGACTTATATGTTTTATATTATAATAAATTTTCTACCTTATAACCAGTGTTTTAAAACGCGCATCGCGCATCGCGTCGCGTTATGGTCCTTATATAGCATAACGCATTGCGTAAGCTATTCGAGCAGTTCACTTTTAATGCCAAAAATAATAATATATATAACCATACAAGTAAATAAATAATTGAAATAGTCTTAAACCATAAACTTAGACATTAAATCTAAAAAACAACATTCAAATATTAGTTCATACAAACAACCCAAAGTTATAATCTTCAAAATAAAGACTCACAATTTAAAAATAATCGGTCTCATCCACTATAATCGTCTATCAATAGCATATTTCCAACCGATATCTCTATTTGTCGTCATTTAAACTGAAAATGAAAAAAAAATATTATTAACACAAAGTTTATTCATTTGTTCACAAATCACAGCATTGAATCAAATACATAAGGTTCTCCCCAATTCAAATGGTAATTTAGGTTACAATTAAACTCATTTTCCTTCTGTTTAGATAACACTATTTTTCATCTGTTTAGATAACAATTAAACCCATCCCACAGTATTAATCACAAGGCACATATGTTTTAAAATTGCAAACTACCTCCAGGCTCCAGGCTCCAGGCTCCAGGCTCCAGTCAAGACAACAATATCATTCTAGTTCACAATTCATCAGAATAAGCTATTTGAATAAACACTGCTATCAAGTTAGTTCACAATTAAGCAATCCGCTTACAGAAAGCCAATCTTTAAAATAGCAACAATCAGTCAATCATTCATATCTAACTCTATTAATTTAATAAATAATCATGCCAATTAAACAAAAAATCTAAATCATCAAGTGAATGAAGAAGAGGCCCAATTTCAACTGATTCAAAATCTTCAAAAAAAAAAAATGTTACCTTCGGAGTCGAGAGCCGAGGAGCTGCCGAGCTGGGGATGTAAGGTATCGAGAGCCGAGGAGCAGGGACTTTGGAGGTGGCGGAGTCGAAGGACAGGGAATTGGAGTGGCGACGACGGAGTTCCAGCTCTCCCCGATTTGGATGCGTGAAAAGACGTGGAGCTGAGGAGACGACGGAGTTCCTGCTCTTGCCGGGCTGTGGTGGAGGCGTGGAGCCGTGGAGTTGAAGTGGATGCGGAGGGCGGGACGGAGTGAGATGATGAAGAGCAGAAGAGGTGAAAAAGAGGGTTTCTCTTTCGCTGCCTTCGATAATTCCTTTTTTTTTTTACTAAAATTGGGGTAAGTGGTGAATAGCGTACGAAATATACGCTATTGCGCATATAGCGTGCGATTTTTGGTACGCTATAGCGCATTTTTAGCTTGAAATGCGCTATTGCGCGCTAAAACACGCTATTAAAAACACTCCTTATAACATATAACTACATTAAACATAAATATATTAATTGATAATAATTTTATTTTCTAATTAATTTTAATAAATAATTTTTTTATTATTATATAGATAAATATAATTTATTTATTTTATATATACAATATGGATGTCAAATCGAAGCTCATCAAAAGGTGATTAATATGGTATATTATATATGTAAAAGCGATAAGAAATACAAAAGTTATCAACTTTTAAAATATATTTTCAATTCAATGGTTATAATAGGAAACTATATTGAAATAAAATTAATATAAATATTAATTTATATCTAAGCCTAAATCCAAAACATGATTTTTTGCCAAATAAGATTCCGAAGTATGAGACTTTACCACGTAGGCTCAGCGCATTCTGAAATTATATATATATAGAGGGGAGAGGGGATGTATGATTTATCTTAAGAAATTAAGAATACAAACACAAAGATTTGTTCTAGGAATGTGTAAGCGATGGCTTGCTCTTCTTTAGTTTGGTGTCGTACTCCAATTATGCTATAGTAAAGATGAAGATAAAATCGTTCACTACCTTGTGCTTACCTTACTCTTCCTCCAAGTTAAGAAGGAAATATTTCTTATGTATTATTATATAAAGAGACAATCTAAAAAATACTTAAATAGTAACTAAAAAATATTTTCAAATCCCGCCTAAAAATTAACTAAACATATAAGCTTTTTTGAATTTTTTTAGCAATATACTGCCACTTATGAAACCATTTGAAATTTTCAAAACTTTGAAATTTTATGTCAACCTCCCAAATCTTCATTGCCGTTTCAAATTTTTAGAGATTTTCTAAAACAATCAATTTTAAGACATTTTTTAAAGTTTAAACAAATCCACTTTAACATCTCCAAGCATATCAATGTCATTTTTTATGGACACTCCCAAATATTATTGCAGCATAAATAAATTAACTGTTAAGATTGAAACAAATTCACTTTATATCATAAAACTATATCAAATTAATTAGCCACGTTTCAATATTATTGCAGCATAAATAAATTAACTTTTAAGATTGAAACAAATTCACTTTATATTATAAAACTATATCAAATTAATTAGCCACGTTTCTGGCGATGTGCATCACACACTAGAAAACAATTTCATTTACTTATCTGATTTTTTAAGGTAAAGTTGCATAACATGACATAACCAAATGAGAAAAAATATTGTTTTACAGAATCAGATTACACAATAAATTGCTATTGATTATCGGCAACTATCAATTATAATTGGTATTCAAAATGTTAGAAATGATCTATACTATCACCAAGTTGCATAACATGATATAACCAAATGACAACTCAATAAATTGCTATTGATTATCAGCAACTATCTATTATAATTGGTATTCAAAATATTACAAATGATCTATATTATCACCAATTAGAATAAATCCCACATATTTATCCGAAATTTGAAAGTTCAATTTCCTAACATGATAAAAATAAACCACATCAAATATTGTTTAAAAATTCATGATTCCAACTACTATACAATACAACTAATGTGATAAGTACGAACCAATTTTGTTAAACTAATGGTGACAAACCTCGAAATCGTATTTACAATTTTTCTAAATACGATTAAAATTTTTGATTGAATATAAATAACCAACACAAATTTTATATTCGATCAAAAATTTTAATCGTTATTTACAATTTTTCAAAATTTTAATTGTATTTACATTTTTTATAAATTCTTATATAAAATATAGTTAATTTATTATATGACATAAAATATAAATTGTACTGTTGTTTACATAAATTTTGCGATATAAATAAAATTTGTGGTGTTGGTTAATTATATTAGTAAAAAGATTTAATCGTATTTTTCAATTTTTTTTTTTAAATTTTAATCGTATTTACAATTTTTTGAAACTTTAATTGTATTTACAATTTTTATAAATTCATATATAAGTTATAGTGAATTTATTATATGACTTAAAATACAATTTTTACCATTATTTATATTCGAAATAAAAATTTAATCCTTTTACACTTTGTCTAAATTCGTATATAAATTGTAGTTAATTTATTGTATGACTTTTATTGGGCTTTTATTTCATTGAATACTTTGGAACTATTAGTTGTTTGATAGATGCCATTTAATATTCCACTTCAAAGGATGTCACACTATTGATTGGCGTAGACATTATTCCGGAAATTTAATATTTTCTTGCAAGGTAATATTATATTATTTAAATTATAACAAACAAAATTGTTCAAATTTATTATAACTAATTTTAATTTAATTAATTAATTATATATATTTTAATAGGTTTTCAACAAGCAAAATCTAGAGGACGATGACATTGTTGTGAGCTCCGTTGATTCTTTCTATGAAACCGATGAGGTAGTAATATTATTTGTTATTTTCTATTTTATAAAATGATTGATGCTCAAAGTTTTCCTTTCAAAATAATATCGAAAATATATGTTAACCAATTGTTTGTTTTTTGCTTTTCAACGCCACGGATACATGGGTTTGCGCTACAATAGACTCAATAATTGATGATTGGGCGTATCTTGCATGCAAAAGGTGCAAGAACAAGATGTAGAATGTAGAAGGTCAATTTAAGTGCAACAAGTGTACCCATACACAGGGCTATACTTGCGCCGACACTGGAGATAGTAGAATCTATCAATGCATACATGTCTTCGTTGAATTTGATTGAACGTCGTACTTATTTAAGCTCTGACATTACGTATAAATGCGACTCCAATACCAACTTTCTAGCAGAACTCCATACGCCTGATTTCTTGAATACTATCAAGTGTTCTGTAACACCGAATAATGAGTTGCATCTGAAGGTAGGAACTCCGGTAATGTTTCGTGGATCATTCAATGGGACTGTGCAATGGGACACGCTTGGTTGTGACGAAGCTCTCCTATCATGTTGTTCTTGAGTGTAAAATTCTTACTGGCGACCATGCAGGTGATAAGGTGTTGATACTTCAGATGACAATAACTCCTTCTAATGTTAGAGTATCATTTAAGTTCCAACAAAGATAGTTTTCCATTATGGTTTCCTACGCAATGACCATAAGCAAGAGCCAAGGTAAATTCTTATTATATGTTGGCTTATTCTTGAAGAAACCAGTTTTTAGTAATGGATATGTTGTCTCCTGTGTTACTAACAGAAACGGTTTGAAAAAATTAATTTGTGGATAAGAAGGATTTGGAGAAAGTTAAACCAATAATGTAGTGTATAGGAAAGTGTTTAATAATATATGAGTTTTCATACATATTATTTATCTTATTGCCATAGTTCAGTGATTAATTTTTTAGAAAAAAAAAATTAATAAAAAAAAGTTTTTGAAGAATAAGTCTTATCGTGCAACGCACGGGATCTACACTAGTCCTCTATTATCATATTTAAATTATTGGACTAATAAGTTTGGTTTGCGCCTTTTCAAATTAGTTTGAATAATCCTTTCCGGGTACGATCCCCTATTAGATACCCCAAACACTTTTCAAGGATCTTTACTATAGGACCTCATAGACAATTATAGTTTATTTAGTTCTTATGAATTACCATAATGTCTAATAGTTCTAGATGGCATGTTTTTCCTTAAATGGTTCTGAGACCGCCAAAATCCATATATACCATGTTTTTCCATAAAGTTGGTTCATTGTTTTAAACGTGGTCAAACAATTAAGTAAACCATTATTAAATACAGTTCAAAGTGCTGGGATTTATCACTATTGTTCAAACCGTTGAACACGCCACAGTAATTATAAAACATTTACTCAATACAAAAAGCAAAGAATTAGTACTCAAGAGCACGTGGGTGAGATGGTTGGGGTCTCTCCCAGCTTAACCAGAGGTCTCGAGTTCGAGCCCTGGGAATGCAGCTGTGTTAAAACTCTTGAGGTAGAGCTTTGCCGCCCTTGTGGTCCTACCCGGCTCGATTCCGGATTAGTCGGTCCCCTAGGGGATTCGGAAACCGGAAGGTTCAAAAAGCAAAGAATTAGTTGCGTTTATGCTTGAAAAGCACTAGTAAAATGAACTACTGGTCCTTTTCTTGAAGAATACTAATTTGGTCGGATATGGCAAGGTTCACGCCAAATTTGTCACAACGTTTGTTTCACTGAGAAAGTCAAAACCCACCAACCTTCAAATCTTTTGCTTTCCGGCAATAAAAGCCACATATTTGGCCCTACAGAACGTAATTCATGCTACAATTAAATGTATAAAACACAAGTTAAAGCTGTGAAACGGGCCATGCCTGCAACAAATAAAAAAGAATTTAGAGATTAAAACCCAATAAGCCGGAACTTTTTTATTTCACAGACATAATTCATATGGCAGGTATGTCGAAAAGTATATATTTTGTTCTTTTGAGATATAATATTTTTTTAATAAATATGTCCATCTAATCTGAATTAAGTCCGATATATTAGAGTTAATCTACTTTGACAGTTTGGTTTACTAAGTGTCTTACTGAATTACTTGTTGACAAATTCTAAACAGTTGATTTTAATACGTTACAATTCAATCTCACAGTATACCATGACTTAATAATAGTCTAATTAGTATTTCAGAAATTGTGTCATGAATCACACGAATTGTGAAGGAATTTTTGCTGGATATTTTTGGTGGATTGATGAAGATTTTGTGGTCCAAAGTCAAAGATTAGCACCATATGTTTACTCAACGTCATCCCTAACCAATCAAATGCTGCAACACGCACCAATCCAACTCCAATCTTCTTCTTTTTTCCTCTCATTTTTCTTTTTATAAAAACAACACACACCCACACGCAATCACACAATTCCGGCCATGGTATATATAACAAACATAGAGATTGGAACAAAATATGACTCCCAAATACATATATATATATATATATATATATACNTCATAGCCATGTTGACTCCATTGATCCCTAAAGCCCAAACCACCAAGAAACCACCCCTATCAACCCACCTCATCGAGGCCCGATCCATCTCGGCCATCTCACTCCCAATGATCCTCACTGGCCTCGTACTCTACTCGCGCTCCGTCATCTCCATGCTCTTCCTCGGCCGCCTGGGCCGCCTCCCCCTCGCCGCGGGCTCCTTAGCCCTCGGCTTCGCCAACATCACGGGCTACTCCGTCCTCTCGGGCCTCGCCATCGGCATGGAGCCCATTTGCGGCCAAGCCTTGGGCGCCCACCGCTTCAAACTCCTCGGCCACACCCTCCAAAAAACCATCCTCCTCCTCCTCCTCACCTCCATCCCAATCTCCATCCTATGGCTCAACATGAACACCATACTCGTCTTCCTCGGCCAAGACCGCCTTATAGCCGACGAGGCCCAATCCTACATAATCCTCTCAATCCCGGACCTAATCGCCAACTCCTTCCTCCACCCCTTGCGAATCTACCTGCGCACGCAGTCTGTAACAGTGCCGTTAACTTTTTGCGCGATTCTCTCCATCGTTTTGCACGTCCCGATAAATTATTTCCTCGTCACGTCTCTCAATCTCGGGATCAAAGGCGTGGCGTTGGCCGGCGTGTGGACGAACGCGAATTTACTCGCGTCGTTGGTTATGTACGTGTTGGTGTCGAAAATGTACGTGAAGACGTGGGGAGGGGTAATTTCGGCGGAGGAGTGTTTCGAGAATTGGAAGCCGCTCGTGAGGCTCGCGGTGCCGAGCTGCGTTAGCGTGTGCCTCGAGTGGTGGTGGTATGAGATCATGATTTTGCTATGCGGGCTTTTGCCGGACCCGAGTTCGAAAGTGGGGTCGATGGGGATACTTATACAGACGACGTCGTTTGTGTACGTTTTCCCTTCGTCGTTGAGTTTCGGGGTGTCGACTAGGGTTGGGAATGAGTTGGGCGCGGGGAGGCCCGGGAGGGCGCGGAAGGCGGCGGTGGTGGGTTTGGTGGCGGGGTTTTTGTTAGGGTTTTTGGCGCTAGTTTTTGCGTTTGGGGTGAGGAATGTGTGGGCCAGGGTTTTTACGGCGGATGGGGAGATAGTTGCGGTGACGTCGGCGGTGCTGCCGGTGGTGGGGTTGTGTGAGATAGGGAACTGCCCGCAGACGGCGGGGTGTGGGGTGTTGAGGGGGACGGCGAGGCCGGAGATTGGGGCGAATGTGAACTTGGGGTGTTTTTATGGGGTGGGGATGCCGGTGGCGGTGTGGGGGTATGGGTTTGAGGGGTTGTGGGTGGGGATGGCGGCGGCGCAGGGGTGTTGTGCGGCGGCGATGGTGTTTGTGGTGGTGAGGACGGATTGGGAAGGGGAGGCGGTGAGAGCGAAGGAGCTGACGGATGGTGAAATTGAAGGAGATGGAGATGAGATTGGTGGGATTACGGAGGGTAAGTATAAATTGGTGGATGATTCACCAGCTTAGAATTAGATAGTTAATTTTCTCTTTTTATTAAAGGAAAACAAAATATAATAAGGAAATAGGACCAATTAATTAGTTCTTATCCCTTTTTTTATTTTTAATTTTTTTTTTATTTTTTTTATTATATTTGGTGTAGCCGTGTAGTGTAAATAAAAGATGGGCACGTACGTAAAAAGCATTAGATGTGGGGACTGGGAGTAATTTTTTTAAGTGGTTTGCTCTGTTTTGAAAAGAAATAGTCAAAACAGAGGAACTTGACAAATGACAAGAATATTATAATTTTTACTGGAGTTTATTTTTTTTCTTCACCAAATAATTCAATTAGGTTGTATATGGTGGTCGCGGCTAGTATGTGTATCACTCGTGACAAAAAGGTTTTCATATCATACATGTTGAAAGATCTTAGGACATGAATTACCTCAACCAAAAATATTACCTCAAATTCAATTTGCAGTAACTATCATATCAATCACTAATTTTTCTCTAAACATTAAGTTTATTCTCATATTCAAAAGAATATTCTTTTTACATCTATTTTAACAACTTTTTGATATTACCCACATATTTTATATTTCACAACTAAAGCACACACTTTTATTTGAAACTCAATTAAAAAATGTATAAAAAATTTAACTATAAAATAATAATTCATACACATCAAAAATCAAACAATAAATACTCCCTAAAAAAATATAGAATTACACCATGAGCTAATAAATACATTGAAATACACATAAAAATTGATTAACATATGAAAATAATCAAAATAAGTATTTATTAAAATTAACAATTACTCTACCAGATATGAAAAACTAGGGCACATGATTAAAGTTTATTCCAATGATGTACAAATTTGTTTTTTTAGTTTTTTTCGTACCCATACTTTTAATTATTGTTTTATGTTTTGCCAATCTCATCTTACTATTAGTAACTTGGATCCCCCTATTTATTCTTGAATTTCATCTTGCATTCTAATAAAATAAATAAATTAAATGACATGTAAACAATTATAAAATTATCTTCTACACGTGGTGTAGTCATCCAATAACATTGTTAGATTACAAAAGGGAATAGAATGTATTATCCAAAATGATTTATCAAACAATAAATATTGATGTGTCATTTAATTAATTTATGCCTTGGCGTACGTGCATCATTAAGACGTTATCAGCACGACACTCTTGATCTACTTTTCGGATTCACTAATTTGGGATTAAGAAGTTAATCATGCTTAGGATTCATTTAACCTGTTAAACAACTTTTGTAAGTACAAATAATGCCTCAAATATTACAACCTTATACGTTAATCATGATGTAGTTTCATTGCATTGTGACAATTTAAGAACTTTAAATTTTTCCAAGTATGGAAAAGAAGATGGAAATGAACCATATCATGTAATCTTCTCAACTGCCGGCTTACGTAGATGAATAAAACCACCAGCTTTAATGTTCACACACGATCAAAATTAGAAGAATATAGGAGGAAAAAATGGAAAAAGAAGTAAGTAATGACATCATAAATAACCCGATTCAACCACATTTGGCCCGAATCCAGCTGTATTATAAGATAATTAAAACAGTGTGAGATTTTGGACTTGAATTTGGACTTTTGACATCACGGGAGAAGTACTGTTCCCATTCATGTTTACATTATTGTTTCGAAAACGGTAGAAAGGATTAAATTTCTTTTGTTTCATGATGTTAGTTAATTTGATAATGATAATGGTGTGTGATAATTATAATTAATCTTGTCTGTAATACACACATGGGTGTCTTATTCCTTAGGTATTTATCAATTCTCAATTATACATGTACTTGTACATATAGAATTGATATTTGAGAGCATTTTTCAAGGAGATTTTTTATTTGAAAATATATAATTATAATAACAAATTTTGTAGCTCATTATGATTCGACTTTGTTAGCGTGTGTTTGTGTTAACTATGTGTATAAGAGTGGACTAATGTCACTAATCGATGAAACATTTTTATTGTTTTATAGGGTTGCCAGAATTTGTTTGGAATCAGTCGGAATATCAGAAGACGTACTATTCGTTTTCTAATCATGTAAAAATAATATAATAATTGTAAGTATATAATACTTTTGAAAGATTTTGTATTTAACCATACTAATTACTATACTTCATAAAATAAGGGTAATTATAAATATAAACAAATTTACTAATATATTTACGATCCCACCTAGGCTCCGTCAAATCCCCGCCTACTCGCCTTAGGCGCTAGGCCCCAGTTCGCCGCCTAGCAACTTTTAGAACATTGCTTCTAACACATTGCAACATCAAGAATGCAGCTGAATTTGATTGGTCGGAAAAGGTACGTCTTTAATATATTTATTAATATATATGCTTAATTTTATCGCATTTATATATTTTTCGACTTATTTATTTATTTAGATGAATTCATTTGCTTTGATTATTTTATATTTATTTTTAGGGTATTGAAATATTTTGTGAATCCGAAACATTGGACGAAGATACCCGTTAATTTGGCCCACAGATGAACCTTACATTTAGGCGCAATTTATTTGGAGCTTATCAAATTGGAAAAGATTAATTAAAGGTCATTATAATAGGCAGACTTGGAGGAAATAAATAAGATTGACGTCCTAGGAGATTTATGAGCGCTGGATACCCATTATTTATGGGTAGCGGCCCAAAATTACTAGCAGTCCAACATGAATTGGGATTACTTGGCTGGGAATTATTTCCCAGAGGAGTAAATTATTTGGGCTGGACATTTGTTTGACTTGAGGAAGCAGTAATTGCAGCCGCAAGACAGGGAGAAAAAGAGATTCACACAGAGAAGAGAAACAGATACGGAGAAATCCGATCAACTGCGGAGGGAGGTCGCACCCGTACACGAGAAAGATAATTAATCTTTCTCTTTTATCTATTTTTTATTTTTATTTATTATGTTAGAGTAGTTTTTATTTCTAGTTTCGAGAAAGTTGAACCCTATAACTTGACGATGTCTTGATTAATTTACATGGTTGATAATTTCATTATCTTTTTGGAATTGTGCATGTTATTTTGACTGAATAATTTAGATTTGGTGAGTCTTATTTAGATTGATCGTCTAGATTAGAATTTTCATATATATAGCTTGAATTAGACCTTCAATCTTTAATTGTTGTTGTGTTTGGTTCATGAGAGGCAACCAGAAGATGGTAACTACCAGGGATAACACGACCTATTTAAGTGAACAAACGCGGTTGAGTTCACTACTTAGTCTAGTCTATTTTTTTAACACGTAAAACGGCTAATTGTATTAAATCTTGAAAACGTTTTTCTGGACTATACAAGAAGTCAGGTTTAATCGTAGAGATTGTATTAAATCTTGAAAACGTTTTTCTGGACTGTACAAGAACTCAGGTTTAATCGTAGAGCGTCTCACGGTTAAATTAAAAATAAGAAAAAATTCGGATAGCAGACCATGTCGTTACTTGGGCTAGTAATTCTATAAGATAGCGAGATTGATACCAAAGTTGATTATACGAGTCGGCCGAGGGTGCATACGGAACCGTAAACTATAAAGTTCTCTTCCTTTATTTAATTTTATTTTTATTTTCATTGTTTAGATATTATTTGCTTTATTAGGATTTTAGTTAATTTAGTTATTTAATTCAATCCCCCTTTTATCGCTTTCTTAATTTCAGTTTAATACGAGAAATATCACAATTTCATTCACACTATTCGTGGGATCGACCCTTACTTGCCGCTACTATTAGTTAGTAGAAGTTAGCCAAGGAAAATATAAGTTTTAATTTGCCGCGTTGCGACGCGCGGTCAAATTTTGGTGCCGTTGTCGGGGAGTGACGTTACTGAATTGTAATTTTTGAGTACTAATTAAGTTTTTTTTTTTAGGATTTTATTTTTATCATTTTTTATCCCTCGTTTTCCTTGTTTTTTCTTTTATTTTCTTGTAGAATACTGGGTGCCCCCATACTTTGCTGGACAGAATAGTTCGAACCCCATACTCACGGGATTGACTAATTTTTGGGTGATTTTAGCGAGTTTGGCGCAATTTTTTGAGAATGACAGCCTATTATCACGATTTGTGTGCACCTTACCAATATGAGAGGGAGATACGAGGCCCGTGGATTGGAGATCGAGACGTAAGAGAACCTAGTGGTTGGAGAAGGTACGAGCAAGACTACATGTATCCCGAAGAGTATGAATAACGCTTGAGAGAGCACTCGAACTCTTTCCATTGGTACTCCGAGCCACCAATTGCGCGAGATCCCAGCCCGTCGCTCGAGGATATGATGGAGGCATTGAGGTTGAACACATTGAGATTTATACAAGAGTACTCTGAACTATTAGTTGAGAGAGATCATGGAGCTTATATATAGTTAATGAGTTCAACTCGACTCATTAAGGTTAAGATAAAATATAATTTTCTATAATTCGGCTTGCTAATATTGATGAACGAGTCAAACTCGAGCTCCTTTATTGGCTCGATATATGCTTAGCTCGACTTATTTACACCCCTATTACTACCTAATCCTATGCCTCACTAGTTGTTTCCTCGTGACGCTCTCCGTTGGCAAGCCCTTCCATGTCTCCGACAATATCCCTTATATTTCTGATTTGCACCTCCGCCACCAACACTAAACCGGCCACGAGCTTCATTCCACCTTTTTCACCATCCATCCATTAGATGAAAAAATTGGAATGACTTGATTCGAATTGCTCCACCTTCCAGCTGTTTGAAAATTGAAAAGGCTTAATTTGACCTTCTGGAGAGTGGAGGGTAGTATAATTTTCTTATTAATTTTCATCTCTTGAGGGGCTGGAGTAAATTATGGCTTTGATGAGGGAAAATTGAGTATGTGCATTTGTACAGATTTAGTTATCAAGACTAACAAACGCCATGTGAACCACCAAACATGGATAACAAACAGTACATGTTTAATTTTATCCACACATTATAATTTAGCCATTATATATTAATTTGATTTATTAGCATCAATCAAAAAATTAGATCATAGAGGATAAATATTTAAACTTGGATCTAAAAGCTGAATAAATTTTGATATAGCATATTAAGAGTAGCTCGGTAAACCGGCAGAGACGGGCTCGATTTATTGAGCCGAAGTAAAATAAGTAGTAAGTTGAGTGGAGGAGCTAATTCGACCATATGAGGAGCAGTTGCTCGGCTTAGTGGATTAGCTGTTGCAGCTCGGCCTTACGGGACCAATAGTAGCTCGGCTTTATGGTTACGCTATTAGCTCGGCTTTATGGTTATGCTAGTAGCTCGGCTTTATGGCAGTTCGGTCTTATAGGGGCACAATAATAGCTCGGCTTTATAGCCACGTTGGCTGCCTTGAGAAGACCTTTGAAGGAAATGACTTATTGATGGCCGAGCAGATATGGAAGCTATTAAAAGGGTTCACAGGGGACGCGTGTAAGGCTAGGATAAAAAAGGAATAAACGATCCGACGGAGGGAGAGCAAAAGCGTAGGGAACAAGCTAGTAACTTCATATAAATAGGTAAACCATTGGAGGAGGTAAGGATACACATTCTACAAACCCTAAATTCTATACACAGCTTTCTTTTATCTTTGATCTCTTACTGACTTGAGCGTCGGAGGTTTATCGCCGGGAGCACCTCCCGGCGTCTTTGCAGGTCTCTGAGCGGTCGGGGAGCAGAGGGAAGCCGGTTCAAGTGCAGGAGCACATCAATTGGCGCCGTCTAGTGGTGTAACTCGGTCACTCTACTGATTGACAGTAAGGTTAAGATGGAAACGACGATCGGAGAAGAGCAACCGTTGAGGAGGAATTTGGACGAGAACTTGGAGGAGGCTTGGGTCACGCAAACGCCCTACGGAGGAGGACCACCGGCGGGGTGGACTGGAGGTGAGGGTCCAACGGCTACCCCTCAGGTGAATCTGCAAGTGGTGAGCCAGATCCCGGTGGCGGAGCAGAGAAGAAGCCAGGAGGTGATTGTGCAGACACCGGGGCCAGGCGTCGTGCAGGGAGGAGGGGAGCCTGAGATGAGGGTGACCAGGACGGAGTTGGACCGTCTTATAGCGGAGGCGGTTAGTAGAGCTCTGGTTGCGAGAGCACAGGCGGAGGTGGTGAGGCCAATTGTGGTGGTGGCGCAGCCGGAGCAGGGCGGAGGTCGTTTAGAGCACGGTGGGCCGATAATCAACCCGGTGGTGGAGCAGCACGTTCCGGTAGTTCCTAGGGCGATGGGTGGCGGTAGCCAGCGGAGGGAAGAGCAAGAAGAGAGGTCAGTGATGTCTCCGATAGTTAATGGGCCACCCAGAGACGCGGTGTTGGAGCAGATGGCGAACCAGATTAAGGAGATGCAAGCTAGGTTGGACGGGAGACGGCTGCCCAGGTTGCAGGGTAATCAATTTACTGAGGAGGTTTTGGGTGCGGAGTTGCCTCAGAATTTCAAGGAGCCTAACTTATACTACGATGGCTCATCAGACCCGGCTAGACACTTGAGGAGCTTTGAGAATGTGGCGGTGTTGCATCGTTACAGTGACGGAGTATGTTGCAGGGCTTTTCTGACGACTTTGAAGGGCTCTGCTCAGGATTGGTTCCACCAGCTCCCACCGGGATCTGTCTATAGCTTTGGGGCATTTAGCTCGCTGTTTATCAATCAGTTCTCTAGTGCAAGGAAGCAGGAGAAGACCTACCTCTCATTGATCAATATGCAGCAACGTGAGAATGAGTCGCTGCGGGATTATGTTGCTAGGTACACGCGAGCTTGTGTGGAGGTTCCCACTGCAACGGAAGAGATCAAAGCGGGGGGGCTCACACGAGGTTTGAAGGCGGGACATTGCAGGAACTCTTTAGCTAAGAAGCCTGCAAGGTCATATGATGAACTATTGGAGAGGTGTGCCAAATATATGAACATGGAGGAGACGGAGGCGGACTTCTTGGCACACGATCGAGCGATGGGAAAGAAGCATGATGAGAAGTATAGACCAGATGAGAGGAGGTCAGGAGGTAGGGAGAGCAAGAATGAGGAGAATGGGCGTATGGGTTTTAAGTATGAGCATTATACGCCACTAACATCACCAAGGGGGGAGGTGTATGAGATGTTGGAACAGAGAGAGGAGACTAAGATGTTTGGGAAGCCTCATCCACTACCTAAGAAAGCAGGACAGGTGTCGGTGCGAGGAGATCCTTATTGCAGGTACCATCATGACTATGGACATTGGACGAACAATTGCAAGGAGCTCAAGGATGAGATTGAGAGGCTTATCAGAGCGGGGCATTTGAAGGAGTTTGTGGCTCTAGATAAGGAGAAGAAAGATGATGTGGAAGGGGGAGAGAAGAAGCGGAGACAAGAGGAGCAAGGTGAGAGAGCTCCTAAAAGGGGGGTGATCCATATGATTGTCGGGGGATCGACGGATGGTGATTCCAATGGGGCTAGACGAGCTAATCTGAGGGCGGATTGGAAGAGTTTGGCTGAGGTTCAGATGTCTCAGATTATGCCGGAGTTGAAATTTGGTACGGGGGATTCCCAGGGGGTGCTGGTGCCCCATAACGATGCTTTGGTGGTAGCGGTGGAGATTGCGGGGTATGATGTGGAGAGGATACTTGTTGACACGGGGAGCTCTGCTGATATAATGTTTTATGGGTGTTTTAGGCAGATGGACCTTGATGTTGAAATCACCCCGATTAGAACATCGTTGTTTGGTTTTAGCGGGGTGGAGGTTGTACCAATAGGGGAGATACAGTTGCCGATGGTGTTGGGAGCTCCTCCTTTGAGGAAGGTGAAGATGGTTCAATTTGTGGTGGTAAAGGCGGAGTCAGCTTACAATGTCATATTGGGGCGACCTAGCTTGAACTCTTTTCAGGCGGCAGTGTCCACATATTGTATGAAGATGAAGTTCCCGGTGGGAGAGCTAGTAGGTGAGGTGACGGGGGACCAGCGGTTGGCCAGAACTTGTTACCAAACGGTGTTGAAGGCGGGTAATAAGAGGAAGTTTGTGGAGGAGACCTCAAGCAAAGTCAAGGAGGAGAGCTCGTGCAAAGGGAAAGAGGCTAGAACGAAGATGGTTCCGCAGGAGGAGCATATGGAGATTGCTCTGGTGGGAGGAGAGTCGGAGAAGGTGACGAGGGTAGGTAAGGAGATGGGAGAAGACATGAAGGTACGGTTCAAGCAGAAGATGTGTATAGCTCATGCCAAGAAGGTGAAGCAGAGGCAGTTCCAGGTGGGTGACCATACATCATCCAGAATGAGTCTGCAGGAGGAACTTATGAGCTGAAAGTTCCAGAGGGTAAGGTCTTTTCTAGGCTTTGGAATATTGCAAATCTTAAAAAAATATTATTGCTAGTTTGATTGTAACTCTTGAGTTGTTTTTGAAACACTTATGATTTGGTTACTGAATCAATGAAAACTTTGAGGTTGTTCATGAAACATCTGTGTTTTAGCTGGTGAATCAATGAAAATTTTGTAGTTGTTTATGCAATATGTGTGTTTTGGGTTGCTGAATGAACTAAGTATGGATGACATGCTTATGAATTAAGAAGCATTTTTGAGCAAAATTTTCTTTTTGCTAAGTGTAAACAGGTCGGAAGAAGATGATAAAGTGTGACGGCTTAAGGCCGAGCTCTTGGAGCTCGGGTGCTGTTCAAAAGGTGTGACGGCTTAAGGCCGAGCTCTTGGAGCTCGGGTGCTGTTCAAATCAGTGTGACGGCTTAAGGCCGAGCTCTTGAAGCTCGGGTGCTGTTCAAAATGGTGTCACGGCTTAAGGCCGAGCTCTTGGAGCTCGGGTGCTGTTCAAAAGGTGTGACGGCTTAAGGCCGAGCTCTTGGAGCTCGGGTGCCGTTCAAAAGGTGTGACGGCTTAAGGCCGAGCTCTTGGAGCTCGGGTGCTGTTCAAATCGGTGTGACGGCTTAAGGCCGAGCTCTTGAAGCTCGAGTGCTGTTCAAAATGGTGTCACGGCTTAAGGCCGAGCTCTTGGAGCTCGGGTGCTGTTAAAAATGGTGTAACGACTTAAGGTCGAGCTCTTAAAGATCGGGTGCTGTTCAAGATGGTGTGACGACTTAAGGCTGAGCTCTTGGAGCTCGGGTGTTGTTCAAAGGGTATGATGGCAACGCCGAGATCTAACGAGCTCGGGTGTCGTACAAAGACGGTGCTGGTGTGAGGTCTTGCTCATTTTGAGTAACAACTACTCACGCATAGTGTGCTAAGTAGACGAGCTATTGAAACCGAGCTGATGAAGGTTAATGACCGAGCTTGTTTCAAGTAACCCAACTACTCATGCGCACTGATCTAAGTAGTCGAGCTATAAAAACCGAGCTCATGAAAGTGTATGAATGAGCTCATTTCGTGTAACCCAGCTATTCATATACATTGTGCTACGAGGTTGCAACAGTAAAACCCAACATATGAAGATGATGTGATCAAGCTCATTACGGGTAATCTACCTAGCAGGAGATAGTTGTATACTTGTGTTAAGATATATTGAATGAATGAGCTATTTGTACTTAGCACGAATTTGAATTCAATAAAAAGAGTTCATAACATATCACACCGAAGATGAATATCCCAAAAGTAGAGTCATCATACTAACAACTTGGATTGAAAGAGAGAAGTAGTTCGGATTTTCAATCGCATCTCGGTCGGAGAATTACAACAGGAGCTCGGTGGTCGGGATAATTCAACCATAGTTTGTTGGGATAATCACTTTGTATGGGTAGATCGTCAATTTTGGTTAAGGAACTGTGATCAGGAGCTCGGTAATTTGGGTTTTATAATCAGTTCGGCCAAAGAATAGTGAGCAAGAGCTCGGCAGTTGGGGATTTTGGGTCGGAATTCAATTGATAAGCTGCGAATGAGCTCGATAATTGGGATCTTCTAACCAGTTCGGATATGGGATCGTAATTGGAGATCGGCGACTTCGTTATGTTGCAAAAGGAGATCGGTAATTGGGATACTTTAACTTGCTCGGTTTATGAATTATGGCAGGAGCTCGGTACTTGAAAATTGTCAAGCGAATGTACGGAGTTCGAAAATCATATTAATAGCTCGGAAATTGGGGCATTTAAATCATGGCTCGGTTAAATGGATCGTCCATCTGAATATATGAAGCAGCTCGGTGGCAAGATCTCGGTATTTTGGGAGATCCTAATGTAACTTGGCCATTTGAAACTCTCAACGGCTCGGTTAATGAATTGAAGCAAAAGGTTCGGTTGTAAATTTTTCAGTCATAGGCCGGCTGAAAGACTGATAGGAGCTCGGCTATCCGCATGTTGTAGCTCGGTTATGTGACTGTGACAGGAGCTCGGTCGACCGAAGGATCCAACCAGAGTGCGGTAATTTTGATTGTCCGAATGTGATAGGAGCTCGGTAATCTAACCATTGTGCGGATAAGGAATCACAGTAGTAGCTCGGTGATTAGGATGTTTGGGTCGGAGCTCGGCCAATCATATTCATCGGAGCTCGGTAGTCTCGATTTTCTACTGGCGAAATGAGCTCGGTAATTAAGATATTGGGATTGAAGCTCGGTAGACTGTCAGATTGAGCTCGACAGTTCGACTTTTCTGATGGGGGTAGGAGCTCGGCAATTGGGGTATTCCAGTCATAGCCAAGTTTTTCGAATAGATCAATTACAGCTCGGCTTTTATGGTTCGATTTTTGCTCGGATGAGCAGATGGTTCTAATTTTTGGATGAGCAGATGTGGTATTCCAGTCATAGCTCGACTTCTTGCTCGATTTTCATAGCAAATGAGTTTTCTGATTTTCGTAGCTCGTTTTTTGCTCGGATACAATGGACCGAGCAGATTGGTAGGTCGGCTTTTCTGCTTAATTGCTTGGATGGAACTTTGTTGATTTAATTTGTTAATTCTGCTCATAATTACCATTAGCCCGGACAAAGAATTGAAATAAATAGCTCGGCTTTTACGATTAATACGCTCGGATGAAGAGTTGGTCCACATAGCTCGGTTTTTCTATTCAGAGGAGAAGCTGATTTTTACAGCTTGGTAATTGACAGCAGCTCGGTAAAAGAGATGTGTTGTAAGCCTGTAATGGGAGCTCGGTCATTTTAAAGTGCATGGTTATTTTGCAATGATAAATTGCTTGGAATTCTAGTGGCATTATTTAAAGAGCTCAGCAATTTGGAATTCTAGTGGAATTATTTATAGTGCTTGGTCATTTTAATCATCAAGCTCGGCCATTTAAAGTGCTCGGCAATTTGGAATTCTAGTGGCATTATATAAAGTGCTTGGCAATTTGAAAATTCTATCCATAGCTCGGCTATTTGAGTATTGTAAACACAGTTAGGACGTGGAATTATAATAAGAGCTCGGCGATTTTGATATCTAGAACGAAGCTCGGTTAATTTAGCAATTGTTGATATTATCAAACAAGTCTATCTAGTTCAATGAACAATAGCTCATTTGATAATGGGGGGACTAGATGATATAGCATATTAAGAGTAGCTCGGTAAACCGGCAGAGACGGGCTCGATTTATTGAGCCGAAGTAAAATAAGTAGTAAGTTGAGTGGAGGAGCTAATTCGACCATATGAGGAGCAGTTGCTCGGCTTAGTGGATTAGCTGTTGCAGCTCGGCCTTACGGGACCAATAGTAGCTCGGCTTTATGCTACTAGCTCGGCTTTATGGTTACGCTATTAGCTCGGCTTTATGGTTATGCTAGTAGCTCGGCTTTATGGCAGTTCGGTCTTATAGGGGCACAATAATAGCTCGGCTTTATAGCCACGTTGGCTGCCTTGAGAAGACCTTTGAAGGAAATGACTTATTGATGGCCGAGCAGATATGGAAGCTATTAAAAGGGTTCACAGGGGACGCGTGTAAGGCTAGGATAAAAAAGGAATAAACGATCCGACGGAGGGAGAGCAAAAGCGTAGGGAACAAGCTAGTAACTTCATATAAATAGGTAAACCATTGGAGGAGGTAAGGATACACATTCTACAAACCCTAAATTCTATACACAGCTTTCTTTTATCTTTGATCTCTTACTGACTTGAGCGTCGGAGGTTTATCGCCGGGAGCACCTCCCGGCGTCTTTGCAGGTCTCTGAGCGGTCGGGGAGCAGAGGGAAGCCGGTTCAAGTGCAGGAGCACATCAAATTTAATATAATTATTTTCCTCCACTTCATATATCTAGTATCTTGTGCTCAATTGTATAACAACTTGTCGTTTGAATGGAAGGAGTATTTTCTCGTGCTTATTGTGGGGCTTGAAGATTTAGTTAGAAAGCCACAATTTAGCAAGTTGGTATTGTTAGATAATTATATATATATATATTAATAAACTTTCATATTTTATATTAAAATGCTATAACTTAAAAAATATATAAATAACAGCATGGCATTTGTAGATTTTACAAAGAAATAAAAATATTACAAAACTAACCCACTTTACCACTGGGTTGTATATCACAACATTATTTGTGATCATTATTATATAGTACAACTATATTATACTGTACAAAATTAAGCAAGCCTAAAGGCAAAGACTAATGAACATTAATTAAATTAATGGCCCAAAAGTCAACATGCCTTCCATTTGTTTTTACTCAATTTTGGATTTATTGGTTTTAAGTATTGCCAAAAGATAGTTTGTCTTGGCTGGGCTGCTCTATTATTTCGCCATCTTATGAAGCACCAACAAGTAATGAAGGAATCTTGTGCATGAGATTAGTTGGTAATGATCTCATAAATCACATCAGAGATTAGAGATTATTGCCCCCACTAAACAAAAAGAGGTTAATTTTGTGAGACCTAATGATTTGTGTAATTCTACATGGTGGCCTCTGAAACGAATCTATCTTAGTCTATAATCAAATGATCAACATTTGTTAACAAGTTTACAAATGCGTATGAAAGAAGTAACTTTCAAAATATCATGTTAATGTTTAAACAGTCAGGGGCGAACGCAGACTCGTATTATTAAGGGGCACACAAACATAACTTATGCAAGAAAAAATAATATTTATTCTCTGCACATTCTTATATATTATATCATTCATAATTATATGAATTCAAATTTCATTAAATATATCTTTTTCAAATACCAACATTTTTTTTTTTTTTTGCATTGGATATTCTTACAACGTCAGCATTCATGGACTTCTTTATAATAAAATATTTTATTTGTTAAAAAATCAATGACAAACACAATTTAGTAGCTAATTTTAAACTTATAATTATAATTTTAAGAACACCTAAAATTCAATATGTATCCAAATTAATGTTGACTTTTGTAGAAAATCGACTTAACTCATTTATATATGTTGCCTACAACATAATATAAATACAAAATGCAAACAACTTAAATATTAAGAAAAATCTCTCAATAATTATTTTACAATATAATTATATATTTATTATTTTTTTTAAAAAAAATCTGGTTCCGCCTCTGTTTAAACCGGTTAAAATGTGTCAAGTTAGTTTGGGTGTTTAGGTAGAGAAAAATGGGACGTTTTGATGTTGCTCAACATCGTGATAATAGATTCTATAGCCAGATAAAAATTGAATATAAAATAATGGGACTCAATTTCTCTCATAGGAATTTTTTTTTTTTTTTTT